CATGTAATGGTACAAGATCCCAATGATGAATGTAACTGTATTTTATACCTAAAATGTACCAATAAAGTTAATGGGAAAAAAAAGAACCATTTTGGTTTATGTCTTGTACTCTGAATAACTATTTTGAAGATAACAATATATAGTGCATTAACTATTGTAGTTCTCTTATTTTGTTATGAATTTTTTCATAAATTTTTTTAAATGACACCTGTATACTAATTTGGAAATAAAAGTGTCAAAGCATGGGTTCATTGTGTATTTCCAATGTGGCCCTTCCTAATTCCCATTACCCAAAGCCCAAACTCCTGCACCATCTTAGCAGAGGCAGTTAGACTTTTCAGTATGATGCCCAAGCTAAGGTGTCATTACAGACCAAGTGTTCAAAGACAGCACTGGAAAAAAGGTAGGAGGAATGTGTAACATTGTAACAGAAATAAAATATCCAGATATGAATGTGGATGCCATCACTTCTGATGAGCCACAGTCTATTCTACAAAGTGAAATGTTTTCCTATGAATTAACTGGTTATTTAACCTCCAGTTATGAGTTTCTTTAAAGAAAACTGCATGTGGTCATCCTTTTGGAAGAGACATGCTTGAAAAGTGAAAATTAAGCTAGTGATAAACTTAGGGAAGAGCTTTGGGACTATGACAGAAAAATCTTTTATTCCCCCAAATTTGGTTTGTTCAAATAAACTAGGATTCACTACTTTGGAGAATTTAGCATCACAGGAGATATAGCATTGGCACATATATGAGAAGATTTTATGGTAAGATAACTTAAATAAAAGTAGTAAGAATCATAACCAAAAAATTATCATTAAAACCCAATTAGCAGGAACATTCTGAAAACACCAAGTAAGTCTTCCTCAAATAGGATGGCATAGAAAGCATATAAGAGCCATCCCTTAGGGGGACCTTGGTGATGTGCTGATGAATCATACTGACTTTCTGAAAGCCAGGGCTTCTCGAAAAGACCAAATTCTAGGGTTATTAACCACGTACCAGTTCTGCTTCTAGCTCCTAATGTTCTTGACAAACGTGGTGTGCCTCCTCCCTTAAGATGATTCTCTCTCTCTCACAACTGTTTCCTATTTTCTTTAAAAAATGAGTTACTGGTCCTGACACATAAGAATACCACTGAGGTACTAAGGTTCATTTAAAAAGAATTAACAAACAACACACTGGTGATTTTAAGTATGATGAAACTGGGAGTACTGCACCTTCCCAATCAGTTGAGATACCTATTTTCTTCACACTTCTAAATCCAATCTTATTTGTGTGACAATACCATGCTCTCTCATGGGAAGAACATGAGGGGCTGTGTACTGAGCAGTCCCGAATACAGAGTGGTGGCAGAAGTATGGGACCTGGGGCAGGCTGCCTAGGTTGGACTCCTGGCCCTACCAGTTACTACCAAAATGACCTTGAGCAAGTTATCTAAGTGCTACATGCCCCAGGTTCTCATCTGCAAAATGGAGATAAGAGAGTGAGAGGGAGAGGGGAGGGGAGGGGAGGAGAGGAAAGAAGAGAAGAACAGAGAGAGAAAGAACCCAGGCACAAAAATGTTAGTTAGAACCTACTTTTTCCACAACTAACTAGAAACATGGTGCTAAAGTAGCTTGGGCAGCCAGTGATAAAGATGTTAATTCCTTATCAGTTCTTTGCCTTTGTTACTCTCAAACCCTACATTTAGGGGCTGGGGATGTAGCTCAGTGGTACAGCACTTGATTCACAGGCACAAGACCCTAGGTTCAATCCCCAGTACTGTTAAAAACAAAAACAAACAAACCAAGATTTGATCTACTTGTATCCATGTTCCACTCAGTATTTTCCACTTAGTTGGAAATACATATTTTGGAGAGTGATGTTCTTGTCTTTTCAAGTTTTTTTTTCTTTTCTTTTTTGTACCGGGGATTGAATTCGGAACCTTGAGGAACCACTGATCTAAATCCCCAGCCCTAAGTATTTTTAATATTATCTCTTAATTATATCAAGAAGAAGGTAGAAAAAAATAAAACTTAACATTTACACTTTTTTGATTGTCTACTCTGTCACAAACAGTTCATGGTACTTAGTTTATTTTAATCAACACTTTCAGAGAGTTACACATAAACTTCTAGTCACAACTTTCATAGAATTTAGAGGTATCATGCCTTTCTAGATAACTTTTATAAGTACAGCTTTCAGTTTTTAGCTTTTCCCTGTGTTTTATTTTTAAATGTCTAAAAAATTCAAACATTTTTATAATTTTGTTGAAAAGGTAATTCGCACATATTTGACATACCTGATTGAAAAGCCAGCATCACTGTGTAAATCAGGAACAGTAAGCAATAGTTGAGAAAGCTCTGAAACATAGGGGTGTTCACCTTGTACTTTTCTGCCAAATACTGGCTGGTGATAGCTGTCCCACAAATACACAAGGACAACATCTGTCCCAGAGCAATTGTTTTCAAAATATGCCTAGAAAATAAAGAAATTGGAATAACCTGTAAGTTACACAAGTAAAACACACACACACACACACACACACTTTTGTGCTAAACACAAAAAGAAATGCTAATTATACCAAAAGGTTATTTATTTCATTTTATTGCTTACTTCATGTGCACGAATATTAAATTATTGGGTGGGAGTCTATATTTGTATTCTCTTTTACATTTCCGACCCCTTCCCCATTTTCAGTAAACATTTAACAGTTTCTTCTCCTCTCAGTCTAACTACTTGATTTCTTCCACTGCCCTTGTAGAAAGAGCGATTTTTGAGGTTGGCTGCACATTACATTGATGGAGCTCAGAAACAGACCATGGTCCAATGGACTCTTCACATGAGACTCCAGCCCTGGCCAACACCATGACTTGGCCATGTAAGAAACCCTGAAGCAGGAGGCGAGCTAAGACATGCTCAGATTCCTGATCCATAAAAACCGTGAGATAAGGGCCAGGGATTTAGTTCAGAGGTTCCGCTGCCTGCCTTGCAAGCACAAGGACCTGAGTTCAACCCCTGGTACTAAAAAAACAAACAAACAAACAAAAAAAGTGAGATAATAAGTGCACGTGTTGTTGTTAGTCACTAAGTTTGTGCTGATCTGTATTATAGGAATAGATAACTGGCACTTTGTCAGTAAGTATTTGTTGAATGAACAAAAATAAAGAAATCACTGTATATTCTCAAATATATGACAGATCACCACTTTCTGAGTGAGGTGGAGTAGTCAGAGAAAAATAAGAAATTCTGAAAATTCCGTAACAAGGAAGCTAAGAATAGAAAAACAGTTTAAAAAAGAAAAGATCAAGCCAGGGGTGGTGGCACATGCCTGTAATCCCAGCATTTGAGGCTGAGGCAGAAGGATCACTTTGAGTACGAGGGCAGCCTGGGCTACATAGCAAGTTCAAGGCCACCCCAGACTACATAGTGAGACCCTGTTTCAAAAAACAAAAAACAAAACAAAAGACCATCAATACTACAGGATTACAAGCCACGGGGAGAAGTGACATGGCTTGAGAAAAACAGTATGGTTGGTAGATCTTTGGAGGGAAAGTTTTTATTAGTGGGAATGTCCAAAGTTAGATTCCCATGGGCTGAGTGAGAAGAAGGTGAGCAAGGGAATACATCAAACATGAAAATCTCTTTTTCTTTCTTTTTTTTTGTACTGGAAATCGAACTCAGAACCTTGCACTTGCAAGGCAGGCACCAGAACCACTGAGCTAAATCCCTGGCCCCAGAAAATCTCTTTTTTGAAACAATGGAGAGTGGGGAGGAGAATAGGGATAAGAAAGAGTCTGAAGAATAAATATCAGCTTTGAGCACAGGGTTTTTATTGTTTTATTAAAAGATCAAGGAAACTTATAAGATAAGCAGAAGTCAGCAAAAGTGAAAACCTGAAGATTTATAAAGACGACTTTTTATAATTATGCAAGGAAAAGGGAAGAAATTTTAGAGATGATGAAGATGGACAGTTCTTGGGAGAATCAGGAATCACAACTGAGAACGCTAAAACTTTTACGTTAAGTGTTCACTGTATAAATATTTCCTTGAAGTTAAGAAGACAATCAAGAAGCAAGATAAAGCCCAGTCTGGGCCACTTAGCAACTTACCGAGACCCTGTCTCAAAATTTTTAAAAAGAAATTAAAAATTCATAAAAGGGGAAAAGGCTGTGGATATAGCTCGATGCAAAGGGGATTTAATCCCCAGCACAATTTTAAGAGTTTTTAAAATCAGATACAATGTGAATTTATTGTTTGATGAACCTCAGAGTTCATTGAATTCACTGGTTTTCCAACTTTGGTGCGCACTAGAACTAACAAGAGAACTGTTTTAAAAATCCTGGTTGCTGTGGGCACAGCCCAGTGGCAGAGTGCATGCCTAGCACATAGCAGGCCTTGGGTTCAAACCCAGCAGCAAAAAAAACCCAGAAAAGTATAAAATAAATTTAAATAATTTTTAAAGTATAAAATACTGATTCCCAAGCCCCAAATGAGACCAATTAACCTAGGTTGGGATCTAGAAATTGGCATGCTTTAAGATGGTGACAGCTCAGTGCTAGAGCATTTGTTCAGCACAGGCAAAGCCCTGGGTTTGATCTTACACCACAAGGGGGTGGTATGCTTTTCATTCCCCTGGCAATTGTCCCAGGTAGCCAGGTTGAAACCACTGATACAATTCAAGATTCTCAATGTTATAGAGGCCAAATGAACAGCCAGAGCCAGTTTGATTTCCAAATTTCTACTAAATTACAATACATAATTATTCTTTTAGGTGCCTCCTGATATTTCTTCTAGTTTCAAAACTTTATACTGTCATCCCTTTCTAATTTTTTAAAAACTTAGTTTATTCATTAAACATATAATTTTTGGTTTAGTTTGGTTCAGTCCTTTGCTTCTGATATGAATGAAGTCCTACTATGTAGTTCAGGCTGTCCTTGAACTCACAATCATCTTCCTACCTCAGCCTCCCAAGTGCTAAGATTACAGGTTTGCAGCACACATCCAGCTATTAAACATGTGATTTGTGTCCCAAGTTGCTTATGCAAAGTGGAAACACCAAAATAGCAGACAACACACACAACAACTGTTCTGAGTTTACAATATATTCTTTCCTCTGAAACATTTGTTTCAGGAATTTGCAACTAACCTCAAATAATCTTAGCACAAGGGTAAAAAGAAAAAGGTGAAGCTTGCTGTGTAAGACAACCCTAAACACATCTGTAGAACACCTACCATGTGCCAAGATTCCCATTTTTGTAAAGACACAAAAATGAATAAGGACCCTGCGTCCTGAGATGCTTAGAGTCTAAGGGAAAAAGCAAGCATGTAACTAGTCATTAGCGTACAGCAAGACAAGGGTTCAAACATCAAGACTATACCAGACAGGCATGTTAAGAAAAAGCATTCCCTGCAGAAGTAAAATCAGCCCTAAAACAATAAGGAACATTCAGGAATTTCCAATAGGTTGATGTTGCTACAGAACAGAGTGTAAGAGAAAAGTGACAGCAGATGAAGATGAAAACTATATCAAAAAGTGTCTGATATGTATGAAATGTTCCAAGGTTGTTATCTTGCTGGAGGTAGAATCATCAAAATCTTCTAACGAGGAACCACTGAAGGGAATAGCAAGACAGGTTTTGAACACCCCTGGGTACATCACACCAAACCTTAGCCTTATTCCTAACGTGGAAACCAACTAAAAGGAAAGTTGACAAAGAAATCTAGAGCAAAACCCAGATTTGTGTATGAGACAACTGGATAGAGTATATGATTAGTCAAGATCCCAAGGGGAAGAGAAAAATACAGGTTTAGAAAAGATAACGGCTCCATTTGGGGCACACTGGATTTTGTTTAACTATTAGATAGCCGAGAAGAAATGTCCAATATGCAGTTAGGAGCTGGGAGAAAGGACTGAGTTGAAGAAATAAATGTGGGAATCATGAGCATAAAGGTGACAGTTGAACTTGAGGATATAAATGAGATCACTAAGGCATATGACTAAAAGTTAAGAAAAATAAAGGGTACAAAAGAAACACTCTAGGACACAGTGACATCTAAGAAACTAATGAAGGAAGGGGAAATAGATGCAGAGACAAAAGGCACGTCAGAGAGGCAGGGGAGAACTAGGAAGGAAGCGGAGAAGCCAAGAGAAGGTGGTGCAACAAGCAGAATGTTGTAGCAGCACCTCTCCTTCTGCGCTCTCACTCTCCCCAGACCCAGTCCCCACTCCAAAAGAGAGTCAACGTTCTGAGCGTTAATCTAACAGGGTCCTTCCCCCAGCTAATGCCTTTGGCTAGTTCTCCTTTGCCCTTACATGAAAGCCTGATTTTGAAATGGCCAACAAGGCTGCGACCATCTGACCTCTGCTTGGCTCTCCAACCTTATCGTGGACTACTCTCTTACAGCTTATCTAATTTTTCATTTTAAAAATTTCTTATAAGATAGACAACCTATGCCCATCCTCTACTGCATACTTTAATCACCACTAGATTATTTATAACACCTAACACAATGATGCAAATACTATGTACATAATGCATTGTTTAAGGAATAAGAAAAATGTACATTTGGTACAGAGGCAAACTTTTCCCTGAACATTTTCACAATGCAGATGGTTGAATGCATGAATGCAGAGCCCACACACTTGGAGTGCTGACTGTATAAGCATAATCAGTATGCATGTAATACAGTATTTCAGGAGAGGTTTATTTTGGCTCATGGTTTCACAGGTTTCGGTCCATAGTCACCTTGCTCCCAGGCAGAAACAGTACGGAGGAAGGGCTGGGCAGAGGAGAGCTGTTCAACACACTGTAGCCAGGAAGCAGAGAGAGAGGGGAAGAGCCACAGCAAGAGATGCACCCTTCCAGAGCAAGGACCACCATGGACCACCATGGACCACCTCCTCCCAGGCTCCTCCTCCTAGCAGCACACTGAGCTATGAACTCACCAATGGACGAATCAACTGATGAGTACAATGCCCTGTGATCCAGTCACCTTCCAATAGCCCCACCTCTGAATACATGGGACTTTTGAGGACATTTTAGATCAAACCATAACAACCAAGCAGCTTAAGAAATACAATATTAGCAACATCTACATAACCGTTTTGTATTCTCTCCCATCTCTGAGCCTTCCTGAAAGGCAACTACTTTCCAGAACTTGGTGTTTATTATTCTTATGCATTTCTATACTAATTTAATGTTCATATAGGCATCCCTAAAGCAATCATTACTATTACTTTGTTTCTTTTTAAATTTTATATAAATGGTATACTCTATATGTATACTTCCACAACTTCCTATTTTGATCAGCATGGTTTGGGAGACTCATCTGTATTGATCCATTAGTTCTAGTTCCTTCCTTTTCACAGTTGTATAGTATTCCACTACAAAAATATTTCATACTTTATCCATTCCACTGTGGATGAATATTTAAGTTTTATTACAATTTGTTGTTGTTTTAAACAATGCCTCTAC